AGCATATAGCAACTGTGTAGTATTTTAAATGAATGACCAAACATTTTTTTTTCTGTTTGTAGTTATGCAGAAGTTAGGGCTGAAAGACGACGAGAACTTGGCATTGAAGAGTCTCTTCCTGAGGCAGCTGCTGACAAAGTATGTTTCTTATAATTTTTTAAAAATGATTTTTAATTTCTCCCAATGAAAGATAAAACTCAGTAACTAATAGAAGAATTATTTTTCAAACACTTTATTTCCTCACTTATAAGAGGGATGTGATTGTACTTTACTGCTTATTTTTAATTTAATGTTTTAAAATCTCACCTTCCTCTAAAAAGAAAATTGGATGAGAGACATATCTGATCTCAGATTAAAACTACCATTTATTAATTCCCAGTGATGTACTAGGCTCTGGCCAGGTTATTTATATGAATTATGAAATGTAATTTATATTTCAGATATTTTTATCTGGTAGGTAATATCCCCATTGTGAAAATACTGAAATTGAGGTTTCAAGAGGGGGAAAAAAATCTCCCCTAAAGACACTGGCTGGGAAACTATAGTCAGAATTTGAACTCTGGTTTCTTTTTTGTAGTATCAGGTCAGAAGTGTAGTGTATTAGTTATCCGTAGCTGTGTAACAACTTACTCCAAAACTTAGTGATATAAACAGGACGCTTACTATCTCCTAGGCACAGTTTAGCTGGACCCTCTGCCTCAGGTTCTGTTGTGAGGCTATAATCAAGGTGTTGGTGGGAGCCACACTCATCTCACAGTTCATCTGAGGTGGAATCTGTTTCCAGCACACTTAGTGGTTGCTGGCACACTTCAGTTCTTCATGGGCATTTGAACTGAGGGCCTTGGTTTCTTGCTGGCTGAAGACTATCCTCAGTTCCTTTCTAGGTGACCTTTTCCATCAGAGCAAGCATCCAAGATGAGCCAGGGAGAGACACTGCCTGCAAGATGGAAGTCACAGTCTTTTGTATAACCTAATCACAGAATTGATGTCTCATTGCTTTTTTCTGTCTTGTGCATTATAGAAGGAAATCACTAGGTCCAGCCTACATTCCAGGTGGGAGGATTATACAAGGGCATGAATAACTGGAGGCAGGAATTGTGAGCCATGTCAGAAATTTCCCATCACAAGTATTTTTGGACCTACAGAAAATAAGTGGAATGAAAAAGAGTCAAAAATCTATATAAAAATTGAATTTAAATAGGCAGCACTCCAGGGGACAGTATGGTGGATGTTATTCAGTCCCAACAAATGTTATAAAGTACTTTCTGTATGCCAGGCATGGCTCTGGAGGCTGAGAATATAGCATTGAATAATGCAAACAACTTCCTTACTTTCATGGATCCCACATGAAAGAACTTTTCCAAAGAGATTTTGTGTGTTTAGATCAGGACATAGTAGGTTTTGGTAAAAGACATTATTTTCTGAGAAAAATTCTTAAAATCTAGGGTTCTTTGATTAGGGGGCCATTATGAAAACTGAAGTAGTACAGAGATTAATTATCCTTCTTTTTCCCTCATGCAAAAATTCAATCCTAGTAAATCCTAAATTAGCCCTATTTCCAAAACACACTCCAGCTATGTCTAATTTCCCACTGTATTTACTGCCAGCATCATGATCCACCTGGGGTTTAGGGACAAGGTCCTCCAGAGATATGTTTGAGAAACTTCAATAAGTGGGTGGTTTTAAAATCATGAATCTTGATGGGATCACCAAGAGGATGGGTGTGTTTTGGAGGACTCCAATATTAAGAGGTGAGGGAGACAAGGAAGAATCAACCACAGGGAAGGTAATGGTAAGGAATAAAACCAGGAAGTTACTTAGATAAGAGTATCAGGAGTGAATGATCAGCTTTTTCAGATTCAGCTGAAATAAGTTAAATTTTAGATGAATGCTGAGAACTGAGCATTGACTTTAACATTTAATTCACTGGTGATCAATAAGACAGATTTTGTGGAGTAGTAGTGTGGGTGAAAACATGATTAGAGGTGGGTTTAAAAGAATTTTCCAGGATGGGGAAATTAGGTACAGTGAGTAGGGAGGAGTTTTGCTATCAAGAGAAGAGAAATGGGGCAGTAGTAGGAGGGGAAAGTGGGCTTAAAGGAAGTTTTTGCCCTTTTTTTTTTTTTTTTTTTTTGAGATGGAGTTTCACTCTTGTTACCCAGGCTGGAGTGCAATGGCGCGATCTCGGCTCACCGCTACCTCCGCCTCCTGGGTTCAGGCAATTCTCCTGCCTCAACCTCCTGAGTAGTTGGGATTACAGGCTTGAGCCACCACTCCCGGCATGCCCTTTTTTTTGAGAGAAATAACAGCATGCTTGTGTACTGATGACAATGAGCTGTTGGAGAAAGAAACATTGGTGATGGGAAAGATTAGTGTCACCATATGAAACCAGACTCTAGCTCCTGGGCTTAAGCCATTCTCTTACCTCAGCCTTCTAGGTAGCTGGCAGTGCAGGCATTCACCTGGCTTTCTCCCCCGTGTATTCTTCTAAGAGTTAATGTAGTTTTAACTCTTAACATTTAGGTCTGTGACTCATTTCGAGTTAATTTTTTTGTTATTTTAATTGAGATGGAGTCTTGCTCTTTTGCCCAGGCTGTAGTGCAGTGGTGGGATCTCGACTCACTGCAATCTCTGCCTCCTGGATTCAGGGGATTCTCCTGCCTCAGCCGCCTGCGTTGCTGGGATCACAGGCGCCTGCCACTACGCCTGGCTAATTTTTGTATTTTTAGTAGAGAAAGGGTTTCACCATGTTGGTCATGCTGGTCTCGAACTCCTGACCTCAGGTGATCCGCCCACCTCAGCCTCCCAAAGTGCTGGGATTACAGGCATGAGCCACCATGCCTGGCCTTTAGTTAATTTTTGTATATGGTGTAAGAGATTCCAACTTCATTCATTTTCTGTTTCTTTAAATAGAAAATGAAACCAAAATTTTCTGGCTGTAACACATAAATTTTCATTTCTTTACATGTGTGTGTACACACAGATACTTTTGCCTTGTTATAGATAAAAACTGATTTTTTTTTTGTTGTTAACAGTATTGCGAATCTGAGATCTCTGAACTGAACCACAAGAAAACATTTATTTTACTCTGTCTCCTTAGAGCCAAGATTCTGGGTCAGATAATCGTATAAACACAGTCAGTCTGAAGGAAGCATTGGAAAGGTTTGATCACAGCCCAACCCCTTCTGCTTCTTCTCGGAGTTCAAGAAAATCATCTCACACAGCAGTCTCAGACCCTTCCTGTGAGTATTCTTGCTTGAAAGCAGACTTTAAAGTAACTAACTAAACTATTAGTTACTTACATCAGCATTTCTCATCTAATGCTTCTTTAAAATTATACCTTTTTACATTTCTGAAATGTAGTAACCTTTCCAGTGGGTTACAGGCACATTGCTCACTTGTAGCAAAGAATTAAGTTCTTCACGTAGCCTATTAAAATGTGTAGGTGGTAATGGTAGTGGTAGTGTTTTAATCATCCCTCAAAAAGAAAGGCAACTATTTATTGTGTTTTCTAGGGTAGGGCAAGTGTTCTTAGGTTTGCTTTTTGAAAGTTTTTTTAGTGCCTTGTCTTTATGATGTATAATTGTCATTAAATTAGTAACTTTTTAAAGTTTTCCTATTTGAAATATTTTCTTTGTGCTCATAAAAAGAAGTAACTACATTGACTCATCTGACATGGACTTCACTTTCATTGAATGGTTTGAAAGATAATTCAAAAGCCATTTTTATAAACTGAAATACATTTTGAGATAAATCTATAAAAACCGTATTTTATAAAGTACGAATGCTCTTTTGATTTTGTTGACTGATTTCAGCAACACCAACCAAGATCCCGACGGATACGAGCACTCCACCCAGGCAGCATTTACCAGCTCATGAGAAGATGGTGCAAAGAAGGTCATCGTTTAGTAGTCAGGTAAGTTCTTTAGTAGATATTCTTCTGAATAAAGATTTATTAAGAGGGGAGAAATGATCTAAATTTTCAGAAATTTATTGATTTGTTACCCCTCTTTATGAAGATCAAAATAGTACTGATACGTGACATTCAAGACTTCCTTTATTTGTATGAAGTGGTTGTCATATATATCAGTCCTTTTAATTAATTTTCAAGTAAAATGTTAGCTTTTTTTAAAAAAAAATTGTGAAAAGCTCATAATTGATAGCTGTTTTATGTCTAAGTTCAAATACCAATTGTCTCAAGTCTGGCTGACTTTTATTGAGAGCTTGTGCAAGGTACTGTAGAAAGTTCCTTGGAAAATAAAAGATAAATAGGGAACAGGCCTTTCCAGTATAGAAGGGAAGACATAGCTGTATTCAGCTAACAAAAGTATAAGCAAAATGGTAAGTTCATTAATACAAATATCATACTGATATTTCTGCTAGAAGTACTCATGTATGGGAATGAGAATCACTTCAGTGTTATTTTTTATTTTGCTCTAGTCCATAAATTCCCAGTCTGTTGGTTCATCATTAACACAGCCAGTGATGTCTCAAGCTACAAATTTACCAATTCCACAAGGCATGTCCCAGGTATATTTTGTTTGTTGTTTCAGTTGCATATTTAAAAATGATAAATTGCTTTTAAGCTGATGTAATTTTTAAAAATCCAGGTTGTTTGCAAGCACCTGTAGCTGCAGCTGCTTGGGAGGCCGAGGTAGGAGGATTGCTTGAGCTCAGGAATTCAGTGCCAGCCTGGGCAGTATAGCAAGATAGTGTCTCTTAAAAAAATAAAATACATGCACACACATATATAATTATAGTTACAGATGCAGTGAATCTTAATTGGGGCTATTTAGGATATCTGGGGACATTTTTGATTTTCATAATGATTGTGGGGTATCACTGGCCCTTAGTGAGCATGGTCTAGGTATGCTAAATGTCTTTCAGGATGCATGACAGTCCTGCACCACAAAGAATTGTCTGGCTTAATATGCCATAACATTCCCTCATTGAGAAATACTGTAGACATAAAGATATTAAAGATGAAATGTAGTCATTCATTTTGTCCTTCCTATGAATATTGGAAGAATTAAGTAACTTTATTTGTATATTCATTCATTCATTCAATATTTATTGAGTTTCTTGTGTGTAACAGGCACTGCAGATGCTGATAGTACAAATACAAATATCTGTACTAAAAAATCATCACATCTAGAGGGAATGACAAATACCTACCATACCTACAATACCACGTTATATTGCCTGTGCTGAAGGTATATAAGCTGATATGTAAGCACATTGCATGAATCCTTAATGCAGCCTGAGGAAGTGAAGGAAGACTTTCTAGAATTGTTTCCTGTCCTAAGTCCAGAAGGAGGCCTAAATGTGGAAAGTAGCCAAAAAAGGGGAAGTAATTCCAAAAGTGACACTCTTACTTTGTAGCCTAACTTCCCAACTTGTAATGTATGACTCTGTACTCATTCAGTGCCTCAAATATAATTAAAAATACCACAGAGAAGTAGTATTTTTCTTCAACTTTTTTGCCTTGTATGGCATTAAATATACCTTAACTTAGCAGTATCTTGATTTTAAGGAATGATCATTAATAACAGGTAAAAACAGCATTTTTAAAAAAATAGCTCTATCTTTTTTTTTTTTTTTTTTTTTTTTTTAATGGGGACGGAGTTTCGCTCTTGTTACCCAGGCTGGAGTGCAATGGCGCGATCTCGGCTCACTGCAACCTCCGCCTCCTGGGTTCAGGCAATTCTCCTGCCTCAGCCTCCTGAGTAGCTGGGATTACAGGCACGCACCACCATGCCCAGCTAATTTTTTGTATTTTTAGTAGAGACGGGGTTTCACCATGTTGACCAAGATGGTCTTGATCTCTTGACCTCGTGATCCACGCGCCTCGGCCTCCCAAAGTGCTGGGATTACAGGCTTGAGCCACCGCGCCCGGCCTAAAATAGCTCTATCTTATATGGTTAAGTCATACATATATAACTATGATAAGCGTTAGATACTTTCTATGTTACTAGTTCTTTAATCTCAAGATTCTAAAGCATTTCTTAACATTTTATAGGGATATTTTCATGAAATAAAGGATATATACTGTCAAAAATGTTAGCAAGTATTCATATCTCACATTTTATTCACTAATAAAGCGAAATGTTTTGCTTCTTAGTTCTGTGATTTTACTTCCTGTTATCCTGCCTTCTGTGTTTACTATTTCCTTTTTGTATTTGATAGAAATCCTCTAAGTTATAGCAATATAATACTTACCCAAAGGAACAAATAACTTTAGTTATAATAAAATACATTTGTATGACATAAATGTCACTTTATCTTGATTTTTTGAGACAGGATCTCACCCTGTCACCCAGGCTGGAGTGCAGTGGCGCAATATCAGCTCACTGCAACCCCTGCTTGCTGGACTCAGGTGATCCTCCTGCCTCAGCCTCCCAAGTAGCTAGGACTACAGTTGCACGCCACCAAACCTGGCTAATTTTTATATTTTTAGTGGAGACAGCGTTTTGCCGTGTTGATCAGGCTGGTGTCAAACTCCTCGACTCAACCATTCTACCTGCCTCGGCCTCCCAAAGTCCTGGGATTACAGCTGTGAGCCACCATGCCCGGCCATAAATATAACATTTTGACTAATATATAAAAAAAAAAAGGCTTGAGGGAGTTGAAGTACTAAATTTTTAATATTTTCTCAAACCTAGTATAATTTAATATATGTTATGGTCTGGTTATTGTTAATTTCTGAGGTCAGAGTTGTGTGCTTTGGAATGTAATGCAGTATCCTAAATACCAACTATTGAAGAGAGAGTTAAAAATCTTTGGATAGGAAGGACATTTCTCACTTTTACATACAGTTTGCTGTAAGAGGCTACTTTAAGACAGATTTCCAGTAAAGTGACTCTGCTCTTATACTATATCATACACTGAAAATTCATGGGAATAATTAAAGAGCCTGTATAGACTTAAGAGATGAATCACCAAATGTGGCTAAATTATAAGCAGAAGAAAATAGGAGCTGCTCATGACTCAAGTAAAACAGAGAAATAAGTAAGATTGAAAACATAATTTTGTTTTCATTCCTGTATGCATTTACTCATTCGTACTTGTGTAGTCTGTAAAAGTTCATGTTCTGTTAAATGAAAGTTGCCAGGTGGAAGTCCAAAAAAAAAAAAGAGTTCATGTTCTGTACTTGTCTGAGGATAGTTTCCATTGAAGTGAAAATATTATTATTGCTTATCTGTCAGATTTTTACAACTTTGGGTGCTTCTACTCACGTACACATAGAGGACATTCTAGGGATGACAGAAATTGATAGGAATTAACTCCAGGTGCAGACTCCTTTTTCCTTTGTTAAGGGGTAAAAATGAAGCTAAGAAGTTAAATAAGTCTGGGCATGGTGGCTTATGGGAGGACTGTCTGAGCTCAGGAGTTCAACAGCAGACTGGACAACATCATGAGACCCCATCTCTTAAAAAAAAAATTAGCTGGGCATGGTGAGACATGCCTGCAGTCCCAGCCACTTGGGAGGTTGAAGTGAGAGGAATGCTTGAGCCTGGGTGGTTGAGGCTGCAGTGAGCCATGATCATATCACTGAATTCCAGCCTGGGTGACGCTGTCTCAAAAAAAAAAAAAGTTAAATAATTTTTTCCAGTAACTGGTAACCACAATATGAGCTCAGGTCTTGTAAATCCAGGGTGTGTGTAATCAGTCCAGATCCACTGAGAAACCAGAAGCATATCAGAAATTTGAATAGGAATAATATAAAAAATTATTAACTGGCAACAGGGATTAACTCCTAAAAGAAGTAAAGAGAACTTAAAGAATTTAGCAATAAGGCTGGGTGTGGTGGCTCATGCCTATATTCTCAGCACTTTGAAAGGCCAAGGTAGGAGGACTGCTTGATCCAGAGTTCAAGACCAGCATGGGCAACATAGCAAGACCCTATTTCTACAAAAATATATATATTTAAATTTGCTAGGTGTGGTGATGCATGCTTGTAGTCCCAGCCACTGGGGAGGCTGAGATGGGAGTATCTCTTGAACCCAGAAGGTCAAGGCTGCAGTGAGCCATGATCGCACCACTGCTCTCCAGCCTGGGTGACAGAGCAAGACGCTGTCTCAAAAAAAAAAAGAATATAGAATTATCAGATGCAGAGAGCAGCCACTAACTAAGGCAGACGGAGAGTACCCAAGGAAGAAACATTCTTAGAAGACTCCCCATAAGCTCCTAACCTCCTCACCTCGTCTTCCCCCATGCCAAGCTGAGATGCAGATCTTCTTGGGGCAGATGTGGCTATAACAATTGGATAATAGAGAAGTTCACTGACATGCCACAGATTAGAGCTAGAGAGCTGGAAACCATCAGCTGGGGTACTGGTAAAGCTTGCAGGGAAGCTGCCCACTAGGATGTCATTGAGACTTGCTGGAAAGCTGCTGGCTACGGAGCCAACAAGCCTAATTGGGAAGCTTCCCACTCGTATCCCAACATGAGAGCAAGTAGGAAAAGCACCAGAACTGTCTTTGCAGTGTCCCTCCAGCACCATCTACTGACATGGATAACTTTGTGCCTGTTGGCAAAGGAGAAATATTTTAAGGTCCAGGTCCAATATCACAAAGCAGAGCAAAGGTGGGTGGATTAGGAACTAAGAGGCTTAACTGGCATAACATTCTTAACTCCTGTTACACTGCTTGCTTTTCACGTTGCACAATTATAAGGAGTAAGTAATTCTAAAGTATGTTATGCTTTTTCCATATGTGGTACTTTAGTTTCAGTTTTCAGCTCAATTAGGAGCCATGCAGCATCTGAAAGACCAACTGGAACAACGGACACGCATGATAGAAGCAAATATTCATCGGCAACAAGAAGAACTAAGGAAAATTCAAGAACAGCTTCAGATGGTCCATGGTCAGGGGCTGCAGGTAATTGTTATATTTGAATACAAAGCAAGCATCTCATTCATATTTTGGACTTTTAGGAAAATTAACTTTTCTTAATTAAAAGTGAGATGCAAGAGATAAGTTTTATCAATTCTGTTCAATAAATATTCACTGGTTACCTACTAAGTATGATTATGTGTAAGGATTCAGTCAGGCTGGTGGGTGAAACTTTAGTTATAGAGAATATACACAAACCTTTTTGGAAGACCCAAAAGTTTTCACTATAATACTTGGCTGAAAGCAGCCTTGTCCCCTTAGTTAAATAAATTAGAGTAGAAACAAAGGAATATAAGGAGTTTACCTAACTTGTTTACTCATGTGATCCTAAAATTAACCTTTAATCATTCCAGATAGCTCTCTTGATGGGGAGGTCAACCAAAGATATTACCCACTAATGGTGTTTGCTTTAAGCCTCAGAACCTGGCCTTTAACCTCTACCCTCTAGTGGTGTTGACTCAAAGCCTTTGTCATTTAATGTGTGCTCAATAAATGCTGGCCAGCCTGTCAGGACTGTCTGCTGCTGTCTCTTTATAGCACTCTCCTCAAGTGCCTGTGAGTGGCCACAGACACCCCAGCCACTCTTAGACTGAAGATCTGTGTCTAAATGAACATTCATCCATTATTGAGTCAAGGTCTGCAGGACAGACCCTGGCAAGTAGTGACCCCAACAATTATGCTTACAGTCTCTAAAGATAATTCATTCCTGAGGGTATTTCTACCAACATCCTAGTTTCTCCAGTCATTTTTTTTAACCAGTCCACAAATTGTAGTAAGTTTGAATTCATAATATAAAAATCATATTTTAAATAAAGTTTTAGGTACATCTTGGGTACAGAATTTATAAATCAATCATCAGTAATATTTTTATTAAGATACCAGTTGGAATGATTCAAATTAGTCCTATATGACCAACCAGCAGGACCACTCTAGGAGACAATGACTACTTTGGTAAAGGGAAACTTGGAGTGAAAACTACTTCTAAGGTTATAAATTATAAATCATAAGTGATGCAAAGCTGCCAGTCCACAGACTAAGTAGCACTGAGTTATACTTTTTCTAACGATTGGAAACATGATAAAATTAAGATAACTGAAGATTGAATATGAAGCTTCATGTTTTGTTCACTAATTATTTAATGCTAATTCTTCAAAGTGATTTAATCTTGTTACTTGCTTTTTAAACTTACTTTGTAGCTTGATTTTGCCTTCTTTTTAATGCTCTCATTATTCTTTCTTTTCAATCTACAAAGCTTATTTTAACATAATCTTTATTTTTAAAGATGTTTTTGCAACAGTCAAATCCTGGGTTGAATTTTAGTTCTGTTCAACTTTCTTCTGGAAATTCATCTAACATCCAGCAACTTGCACCTATAAACATGCAAGGCCAGGTTGTTCCTTCTAACCAGATTCAAAGTGGAATGAATACTGGACATATTGGCACAACTCAGCACATGATACAACAACAGACTTTGCAGAGTACATCAACTCAGGTAATGTTACTGGGCACAGTGGGCTATGGAGCGATCAGTGGATGAAATGTAAACTCTTGCTGAGACAGAAATCAAATTCTAATGATAAAATATCATATTTCAAAATTGTAAATAGTATTCCGAAAGTATAGTATTGAGAGTGATTATTAAATATTTTGTGCAAATTATGTTAGTATCAGCTTTTGTTTTTCACTGCCACCTTCACCTCCTGCCTTCAAGTGATTCTCCTCTCTCAACCTCCCAAGTAGCTGGGATTACAGGTGCCCACCACCACGCCAAGCTAATTTTTGTATTTTTAGTAGAGATGGGGTTTCATCATGTTGGCTAGGCTGGTCTCGAACTCCCGACCTCAGATCATCTGCCCACCTCGGCCTCCCAAAGTGCTGAGATTACAGGCGTGAGCCATCACACCCGGCCGAGCTTTAAAGTATGTCACAGTCGGTTTGAAGATGTAGTCTAGGCTGGGCGTGGTGGCTCACGCCTGTAATCCAAGCACTTTGGAGGCCAAGGCGGGCGGATCACCTGAGGTCGGGAGTTCAAGACCAGCCTTACCAATATGGTGAAACCCCATCTTTATTTAAAAAAAAAAAAAAAATATATATATATATATATATATATAGTCTAATAGTTATACCA